GCCAAACCCAGATGGAATTACAAGTAAGTTTTATCAAACCTTTAAGGAACAGTAAAAGCCCTATGTTATTTAAACTATCTCCAAGCATAAAAAGAAAACAAATTTTAACAGTTTGTTCTATGAAACAAACATAATCCTGATATTAAAACCTGATAAAGACAACACAAAATTATAGACCCATCAAAATAGATGCAAAAATCTAAAACAAAATGACAAAAATAATGAGCAAATCTACTCTGTTGCTGTTGTTAGGAGCTGCTGAGTCAGTTCCAACTCATAGTGACCCTGTGTAGGGGTTTCAAGGAGCAACTAATGGGTTTAAACTACTGACCCTGCGGTTAGCAGTCCAGTGCTTATGCTACACTGCCCCACCAAGACTCCTACACCAACTCTAATAGTGTATTAAAAGATTAATGCTCCTTGACCAAGTGGCCTATATTTCAAGTTTGCAGTGTTGGTTCAACATTAGAAAATCAATGAATAACATTCATTAATTATTTAAAAGAGAAAAAAATCTATGGTAATTTGTAGAACTGCAAAGGGTATTTAATAAAATCACTGTTGTTTTTGTTAAGTCAATTCCGAGTCATAGCAACCCCGTATAGAGTGGTTTCCAAGGAGCGGTTGGCAGGTTTGAACTGCCAACCTTGCAATTCAAAACTGCCCTTGTGGTCTAGTGCTTATCCTACAGCACTCCAATAAAAGCATTGTTCTTGTGTTCTTGTTAAATGTCTTCGAGTCAATTCTGACTCACAGTGACCCTGTATAGGATTTCTGAAGAGTAGCTGATGGGTTTGAACCTCTAACCTTATGGTTCGCAAGCCAGTGCTTATCCTACAGCACCACACCAGAAGTCCAATAAAATCATTAGTCATTACAAATTAAAAACCCTTAATAAATTAGGAATAAAAGAAAGCTGTCTTAGCATGATAATGTAACGTGTTGGGAATCAAAAGCAGGCATACTTAAAAAGAAACACCAACTCACTAGTTCTCTACTAGGCAAAGAGCGGCACCACCAATCAAAATCAGGCATTAAGAAAAAAGAAAAAAAAAAAGGAATTAGATTTGGAAAGAAAAGGGTTTCATTTTCATCTCTATGAATAAAGAGTATGGATGGAACATCCAAATGGAATGTCTAGCAAGAGGTTGTATATTCAAGTCTTAAATTAGGTAGAAAGGTCAGAATAAAAATACTGATTTGAGGCTCTTTAAGATTTAGGTAGAAAACTATTGATAGGAATTGAGAGAACAGCCACACAGCACTGTCAGAACAGTGATTCTCAACAAGATAATTTTGCCCCCAGGGGACATATTTAAATGTCTGGACACATTTTCAGTTGTCACAACTGGGGGGAAGTGGTGCTATTTGCATTTAGAAGGTAGAAGCCAGGGATGCTGCTAAATATCCTAAAATGCACAGAACCCACCACAAAAAAGAATTACCCAGTCCAGAATGTCAACAATGTCAACTGAGAAACATTTTTGTAGAATAAGAAGAAATGCAGAATCAGGGAAACACTTTGGGAAAACCAGTATTTTGGAAGCACCCACAAGGCACATTTGTACAAGGTAGTACAAATCATCAATGCACTCAACTGCTAACCGAAAGGCCTGAAATGTGAGTCCACCCATGCAATGTGGAAAAAAGGTCTAGTGGTCTGCTTCTAAAAATTCAGTCACTGAAAACCTGACAGAGCACAGTTCTACTGGGACACACACATGCCGTCACAAGGCAGAATTAAGTCAAAGGCAACTAGTACAAGAAAGAAATGTAAGACAAGAGGTAAATCAAGCATTTAAAAAAAAAAAAAAAAGAGGTACATCAAGGCAATGTCCTATCCTAGAAGTTGAAAAGTAGAGAACTTGGGGGGGGGGGGGAAGAGACCCAAAAATGTTGAATTCACTGAATTGGGTCCATACAATAAAGATTTAAAATAATCCACTGGGACTGTAATTAGAAGGGGCCCAGTGATTATAGTGAATTCTAACAGACGGAGAACAGTGGAAGATGAGAAAGGTACACAAAGTAAACACAGGCTGCTCTTAAGAAATTTTATTGAGATGGGAAGAAAATAGATTCAGCAAAAACTACATCAAGGGTTCCCAATCCTGACTACAATCAAAATCACCTCAGAAGCTTTTAAAAATTATCAATGCCTGTGTTAAAAATTATCAATGCCTGTGCCCCACTCCAGACCAATTAAATCAGAATCTTTGCCGGTGGAGTCCATCTACCACTATTTAAAAAAATATATCCTCAGTGACACAGCCAGAACTGAAAACCCACAAAGCTAAAGGGTAAAAAGGTGGCCAAGAGGAAAAGGGAAAAGGAAGTACAGACAGGAAAATGGGTGACAAAACTCCAGAAGAAATATGTAGGGAAAGGTCAGGAACATGCAGAGAGGAGCTGGCCTTGAAGAAAACAAAGACCCTCTATTTTCAGGAAACAAGAGGGCAAAGTGAATAAAGAGAAGTTGGGCACAGGAACCATCCCCCAGAGGAGGAGCAAAGAAAAATAAATCAAAACAATTATTTAAGCTTGGCAATTTAGTGGGTGGGAGGGGAAAAAAGGTACATATGACATAAGGATTTAGTTGGGGTCCAAAAACCCAAGTAGAAAGGAAAGTAATCTATATTCAGTGAAACTGGAGCAGAATACAAACTATTAAAACAGGCTATACAAACAGCTGTGACAGTGACAGGTGTTAATTGTCCAAGGTAATCCCAATAAATCATTTTTCCCATAGCCTATGTATTTGTTCTAAGAAGGAATGCCTGCAACTTACTTTGAAATATACAAAATCTAAATGAATTAATGAGCAGGCAGATAAATATATGATAAAACAAATATAGTAATATAGTAAAATGTTAATGGTTAAGTCTAGGTATGGATGGACTGCACCTCAATGTAAATTAAAAAAAAAAAAATTTAATCCTCACAACTGAAGCAATAAATAACATTATGATAAATGGTGAAAAGAATGAAGCTGTCAAAGACTTCATTTTGCTTGAATGTACAACCAAGCAATGAAGCAGCAGTCAAGAAATCAAATGCTGTATTACATTAGGCAAATCTTCGGCAAAAGACCTCTTTAAAATGTAAAAGAGCAAAGATATCACCCTGAGAACTAAGGTGCACCTGATCCAAGTCATAGTATTTCACACACCTTATATGCATGCAAAAGCTGGACAATGAATAAGGAAGACCGGAAGGCCATAGAAGAATTGATGGCGTTCAAAATATTTATTGCTGAAGAAAACTGAAAGTACCTTGGACTAGACTGCCAAAAAAACAAATAAATCTGTCTTGGAAGACTTGCAGCCAGAAAGCTCCTTGGAAACAATTATGGCAAGACTCTGTCTCACATACTTTGGACATAAGGGAGAACCAGTCTCTGGAGAAGGACATCATGCTTGGCAAAGTAGTGGGTTAGTGAAAAAGAGGAAGACCTCCAATGAGATGACTGACACAGTGGCTGCAACAATGGGTTCAAACACAACAATGGGTTCAAACAATTTTATTCCTAATCAGCCAATTTTTCTTTCTGTCGTGCATAGGATCGCTGTAACTAGGAATCCAGTAGATGGCATGTAACAACAACAACAGGTGTGGGAGGAAAAAAGTACAGATTCTAGAAAGCCACAGTCTAGCAGAACTTTCTGAAATGATGAACATGTAAAATCTATGCTGTCAAATATGGTAGTTATTAATTACATGTGGCTACTGGGCACTTAATATGTTTTTATTGCTAATGAGGAATTTTGAATTCTATTTAATTTAAATTTAAACTGATACCGCCACAAGTGTCTAGTGGATGCCATATAGACAGCACAATTCATACAGCCCTGGGTTTAAGTCCTGGCTCCAGTAATTACTGTTACTTTATCTCTGAGTCTCAGCTTACCCTTATATGAAATAAGTTTAACATAGCAGCTACTACTTCAAACAGATGAAATAAGACAGAGCAGAGAAAGCATGAAACACAGTCCTATGCATTTAAAACAATTCATGTTCACTATTCCTCCACCACCTGGATTCACAATCTCAGTGTCTACTGTCTGTTATGCTCATCACTGCGCCACCAGTGTCCAGTAAAGCGTTCCATACATCAAACAAAATAAACATTTACTGAATGCATATTTTTATACTCACAAGATTTATATTTATTCCTATTAAATTTTATATTGTCCACTGCTCTGATTTGCTGAGATCTTTTTGAACCCTAATATCATCCAATATATTTGATATATTTCAGTATCTTCTATAATTTTAATAAACATATAATCTATTTATTATTTAAGACATTAATAAAAATGTTAACCAGAGACCTGTATCATTAGTTTCATCACCATTAAGTTTATTAGCATTCATTAACTGATACTAGGTGAGTAGAGACGTTCAATGTAGCTTCATTTTCATCCCATCTCTGGTAGCGTAGTGGTTTCGAATCAGGCTGAGAACCTCAAGGTCAGCAGTTCGAAACTACCAGCTGTTCCACAGGAGAAAAATGAAGTTTTCTGCTCCCATAAAAATTTACAGCCTCAGAAACCCTGTACAGGGTCGCTATGAGTCAGAACCGACTCTACAGCACATAACAACAATAACATATACCTATATGGAGTCCTGGTGTGGTGCCATAAGACAAGCACTCGACCTCAAGGTCGGTTTGAACCACAAGGTCGGTGGTTCAAACTCACCAGGCGCTCCTTGGAAACCCTATACAGGGTCGCTATGAATCAGAACCGACTCGATGGCACTTAACAACAACGTGTACCTATATAGTCCTGGTGTGCACTGTAGGATAAGCACTGGACCACACAGTTGGTTTAAACTGCTCCTTGGAAACCCTATACAGGGTTGCTATGAGTCAGAACCAACTCATTAGCACTTAACAACAACATATATCTGCATCTTATCCACAAATATAAGCATGAGAATCTTAAAAAGAGAAAACTACCCTTAAAGAGAACTTACAACAACTATAACTTTGCACTTACCCTTCAATAGCTGGGGATCTTTCAGGCCGAGTACTTCCTCGGGATCTGTATCTCCGAGTCATTGGCAGTTGTGGAGGACGGCTAGGTCCCCAGAAGTCAGTGTGAGTTTGATGGCCCCTCTCGTTGGCTCTACTATCTTGGTCCAGTGGATTGCTACGTAGAAATGGTCCAAATTCTTGGAAAAACATCGTTTCATCCAAGTGGTCCCAAAACTAGTAAAAACCACAAACAAACCACATTACTGGTTTCAAAAATAAGAAAAAGAGATCAGAAACAGGGGAATAAGAAATACTGAGGAATAACTTTTAACCTTTGAAATTCAGCAGCTACAAAATAAAGATATATATGTATCTGTAGGATAAGCACAGGACCACAGGTCAGTTTGAATCACAAGGTCAGTGGTTCAAACTCACCAGCCATTCCTCAGACCTTATACCGGGTTGCCATGAGTCAGAACCAACTTGACGGCACTTACAATAACAAAAATTAAAACATATATACATTCAATTTCATAGAGGTAAAAAGAGAAATCTTTGAAAATGCATTCACAGCAAGGGAAAACTTATAAATTGAGAAATATAATTTCCTTCATATAGAAACAGGAAAGCCAATAGTTGGAGCCTTTCCTTACACGTGCCTCTGACCAATTTCCCCTTCTGAACTATACATATGAGCCAAAGTGATCAGGGACTTCTGTCCAAAGCAGAATCAAGCATTCAGATCAATTATAACCTTGAATTTTGTCACAAATGGCATCCACATGCTCACTGTGGAATAATCTAAGATTTAAATAACTGGATATATTTACATGTATATACCATAGCATCGGTCCTACAAAGCAGATGTGTATGAAATACTTCTTGACCTAGAACCTGTCTCAAATTTTACCACAATTTTTAAAACATTCTTCCTAGCAATAAATATATGGGTTGTTTCCTAGCTTTGTACTATTACAAACAGAACTGCCAGGAACATTCCTGACTACATCTTCTACAAGAGTTTCTTTATTAGTGGTCTGGAGTCCTGGTGTGGCGCTGTGGGTAAATGCGCCAGACTGCAAAGTCATTTGAACTGCAATGACTACAGGGTCACTACAGGTCGGATCCAACTCGATGGCACTTAACAACAACAACAGAACCATGATATGCCAGTGACTTGTTGTTAAGTGCTATCAAGTCAGTTTAACAGGCAGTCCAAGGTCATGTTTCAGCTCACAGGTTTCACTGCACCTCCAAACTACCCTCCAGAGGGCTGTAACAATTTATCTTCCAACCAACAGAGCATGAGACTTTACATTCTCACACACTCTTGCCAACACTGTTAAAAATTGGCAAAAGTTCTAATTATCAGTCTGAAAGTAAAAAAAATAAGATACATATTAAACATGAATAAGACTTCACTAACTACTAGTGAGGCACCTTTCCATTTTAAGTGCCATTTGTACTTAAGAGTATTGGACTTTATTTTACCTTTGCTCTCTAGTGAATGCCTTCATCTGTTAGAGATTCTGGTTTCTAGTCTGGAAAGTGGTCTAGAATGCTAGGCTTTTCTTGACCCAAAGAAATCCCAAATTATAAGCAGCCCTCTCTATTTTTTCAATCATTTCACTTAAGTTAACTATAGAAAGAAATTTAAAATTTCCTTACTGTATCATACAGTTCTGTGACATTTGCTAAAAAACAAAACAAAAACTCTCTAAGTAAACATCATTCTCATTATATTTCATGTAAAAACTAAACATTTTTTAATCTTGACCAAAAGTGTCAAGCACCAAGTTCATAATATCAATAATCTACCTTCATAATTATAAAATTTGTTGTTGTTATTAAGTGCTGTTGAGTCGTTTCTGATTCATAGCGACCCTGTACAGGATTTCCAAGAAGCAGCTGGTAAATTTGAACCACTGGTCTTGTGGTTAGAAGTCCAGTGCTTATCCTACAGTGCCACTTAATATAGGTGACTGCCAATTGCTATCACACCTAATATATGTAAAAATTCTGCAGGTCAAGCTTAGAAACAACTTCAGCATCAGAAGGAAGCATTTTGCTATTTGTTTTGGAAACTGCAAATTAGTACAAACTAGCAGTAACAGTCAGTCAAAGAATTTGTGACCCATTTTCATTCTAAAATAATAATGCATGCTGAACAGAGAACACAGGATAAAAGAGCACACCAAACAAATTATATCACATCAACACTAAAGAGAAGAATAGCTTTAGGGGGAGAACAAACAAGATGGCGGATCAGGTAGACGTGCAGTGAGGAGCTCCATCAGCAACAACACAGAATTCTGGACCAAGCAGGCTCAGGGGATGGTGCCAGAACTCTGAACCACATATAAAGGAATATTTAGAAGGTTGGAAAGGCTTACAGCTGGGGGAATCTGTAGCAGAAGCAAGAAATTTATTGCTTTCTAACTCAAGATGCTCAGCTGCTCCCAGAGCCACCATCTTG